TTCTTCCGCTTGCGTTTAGTAATTTGTTTAAGAATTGGCCGGAGGTAACTTCGGTTACTAGCCATCACGATACTTAACCCTTAGATACGGGAAGCGAGTCGTGACAGAGTGTATTTATAATTTATTCTAAAAAAAAGTATTTATATATCTCTTTACAATTGAAAAGCCATACCACATATGATATAAGAACATATATTCATCAAACTAATTAAATTTGTAATCAAATTTTAGCTAAAAAATTTACTTTGTTATATTAACTAGTCATATTTTTAAATGCATTCTACAATAAACCCTTTTTTTTTTTCTTTTTTTTCTCCTCTCTATTCTTTTTAATATCGCTTTTATTCTTCCTTATTATTATTTGTTAACATATATATTTTTTGAACGATCATATTCTATGGGATTTTTTATATGGCATAATATGTTTTACTAATTTTAAAATATAATAGGTCATACATGTATACATTCGTTTTATTATTTCAATAAACATAAAAAGCAAAATACTGAGGAGGTAAAATAAATTTCAGTGATAAATAGCATCTATTTTTGGCCTATATTTTTGCGGTTCATAATCATATAAATATCATAATCATATTATTTTAAATGTGTTTTTATGTTTGGGTAAATTGCAATGACACCCTTTCATATTTTTAGAAATTGCAATGACACCCTTTCATATTTTTAGAAATTGCAATCCCCTCCCATAGGTTTAAAGTAGCATTACCAATTGCCCCATCGGTTAGTATTAGTTGAAAAAAAAATTCATTGAAAAAAAAGTAATTGGAAAAAAAATTATTTGAAAAAAAAAATTTAATTGAAAAAAAAATTGTTAATAAATTTTTTTAATTTTTTGTTTAAAAACCAACGTAAACTTATTTTTGAATTTACGTTTTTTCTTCAAATTTACAAACTGAGGCAATCATTTATAAATCAAAAAAATTATCAAACAAGTTTTTATGACAATTTTTAAAATTTTTGTAAATATAAATTGAAAATTAAAAATGAAATGGTTGCCAAACAGGCCTCAGACGGTAAAAATACCGTAAAATTAACAAATAATTAAATAAGTTACCAACGTAAGAAATGACTTATCAAAAAATTCTTAAGCAATGTATGGTTTGATTTTTAGAATTTTTTTTTTAAAAATTAAAAATTAATTTGGTTAAGAAATAAGAAATAAAAAATAATTATCATTTAAGGGTAAAAAATAATTATTATTTTAACTTTTGGGCAAGTTATATACATACGTATGGCTGTTTCAATTTAATTTGTAAAAAATTATTTCTAACCACTTGAAAGATAAAAATTATATAAAAATGATAATTATTTTTTATTTTTTATTTCTTAACCAAGTTAATTTTTAATTTTTAATTTTTTTTTGTAAAAATCAAACCATACATAGCTTAGAAATCTTTTGATAAATCATTTCTTACGTTAGTAACTTATTTAATTATTTGTTAATTTTATGACATTTTTGCCATCTGAAATCTATTTGGTAACAATTTCGTTTTCAGTTTTCAATTTATATTTACAAAATTTTTAGAAACTGTCATAAAAACTTGTTTGATAATTTTTTTGGTTTATAAATGGTTGTCTCAGTTTGTAAATTTGAGAAAAAAAACGTAAATTCAAAAAATGAACTTACATTGGTTTTTAAACAGAAATTTAAAAATTTTACTAACAAATTTTTTTTTTAATTAATTTTTTTTTTCAATGAATTTTTTTTTCAACTAATACTAACCGAGGGGACAATTGATAATACTAGTTTAAACCTTAGGGAGGGGATTGTAATTTCTAAACTGTGAGGGGTGTTAATGTAATTTACCCAATGAGGGCAAATTTGGTATTTTAAAATTTTAAATTACTGAGGGAGAATTTGTAATGAAACTTTAAATCTCAGGATAGAGATGTAATTTTTAAAAAATGAGAAGGAGAACTATAATAAATATAAATTTCAGAGGGTATCAGTGTAATTTATTTATTTATTTTCTTTTTTTGAGGAATAAACTAGGTAAGCATTATCTAGGTAGCATTACCTTCTATGCAAATTTGACATTAATCTAGGTGGCATTGGGCATTACCTTCCTATGCCGAATTTGACATATGGAGGGAGGGATGTCAAATTCTTTTTTTTGGCTTTGTTTACTATGCTTTGAAGTTCATACGGGCAGGCACTATTGTGCTCAGCAAAAAGAGTCCGGAGATTGTGGGGTCCTAAAAGATTTGTCATTCGATAGATACATCGTTGGTATTCGCATACTTTATTTTATTAGACACGTTAAGAAAATTATTTATGTAAAAATAAGTTGATATTATATGTTAGTAATCATACAATTGTATTATATTTATTTTTAATATTATCCATTCGTTTGAGATGTGAGTTGACTTTTTAATTTTTTTTTTAACAATTTTAACCTGAGGCTAAAAAGTCTCGTTTAGAATGAATTTTTTTTTTTTTGACTTTTATGAAAGAAAAAATAAAATAATTATTGTTTGAATATGACATTATGTCTTATTAACTTTTTAACATATTTTGTCTTTTTGTGACTAAAATAACCAAAGTAACATATAACAAACATAAACTATATATATATTATCACAAATGTGATTTTAAAAAATAACTCATCAATTTTTCAACACATAATTGAACCGTATAACATATCTAAATAACTTGGTTTTTTTACATTAACAAACTACTTGATAGACCTTATAAATTAAATAATTCAAATCAGGATCATTGGCTATGTTTAACATCCTCTTTTTGTACTAAAATAATTACAAAAAGACAAAATAAATTGAAAAGTCAATAAGATAAAATATTATATTTAAATCATAATCATTCCATTTTTTTCTCTCATAAAAATCAAAAAAATCAAAAAATTCATCCCAAATAAAAATTTTTAATCCCAAATTAAAAAAAAGTCAAAAAAACAACACACATCTCATATATCCCACCAAAAGATGAGGCACTTCTTATTATGCATAGACATATAACCCATCCATCTTCCGAAAAAAGTAAACAAAAACAAACAAATCCCAAAAATTGTTTTACAAAAATGTCTAAAGTCTGTGGTCTTTGTGCGAGTTTGTACCATTGATTCAAATATTATTAGTGAGCAATAATGATCTCATGATGGATTGCTGGTCAATTAAAAAATAAGTTCAAGATGATTTGCCTCAATTTTTTTTTTTTTTAAACTTCTAATCAACTTGTTTAGTTTTAATTTTTGTATTTTTTTTTTGTTTTCACTGAATATCTTTTTTAATATTCTAAGTATTTTTTTTAATTTTTAAATGCATCTAACATAAATATACTTAAAAAATATAATATTTGTAAAAAAAATCTTTAAAAAATTTACTAAATATTAAAAAATATGAAAAAAATACGAGAATTCAGTACATTTTTAATATTCTTGTATATTTATTGATTTTTAAAATATTTTATTTTTTAGATACACCTACATCTAAGTAAGTTGTATCTAAAAAAGTAAAAAATAAAAATTGCTTAAAATTCTAAATATATTCACTAAAAACAAAAAACACGAAAAATAAAAAACTAAATTTCTAAAAAATTGAATTTAAAAAATTAAAATGAAACACACTTAATATTGTTGTTACATATCCAAAAATGTAAATTTATAATTATTTCAAATAAATAAAAAAACCATTACACTTGTGTAGTGAAGAATTTTCATTATAAATAGGCAACCAAGTGGATAAGAATCCAACAACAAAAAAAAAAAAAAAAAAAAAAAACACCAACCTCCAATCAACTGGGATTCAAATTAGATTCAATAATTTGAGTCCCAGTCTCTCCTCTTTCTCGCATATTTCTATTCTTCCAGTTTTGATCCTCTTCACTTCCAAAAAGTAAAAGACACAAAAATGGCGAACCCTGATCAGACCAATCCTGACCGTCCAAATTTCCTACTTCCGGTGGACTCCGAACACAAAGCCACCGTACTCCGCCTCTTCACGGTGGCGCAGCCACACATGAGGGCATTCCACATCACCTGGATTTCCTACTTCTGCAGTTTCATCTCCACCTTCGCAGCCGCGCCCCTCCTCCCCATCATCCGCGACAACCTCAACCTCACGGCCACCGAAATCGGCAACGCCGGAATAGCCTCCGTCTCCGGCGCCGTCTTCGCCAGAGTTGTGATGGGGTCTGCCTGCGACATGTTCGGGCCCCGCCTCGCCTCCTCCGCCCTCCTCCTCCTCGTTTCTCCGGCGGTTTACTGTTTCTCCATTATCAACTCCGCCGCCAGCTTCCTCGTCGTCCGCTTCCTCGTCGGCTTCTCTCTGGCCACCTTCGTCGCCACCCAGTTCTGGATGAGCACCATGTTCTCCACAACAGTTGTTGGCACCGCCAACGCCGTCTCTGCCGGGTGGGGAAACTTCGGCGGCGGTGCAACTCAGATCATCATGCCTTACGTATTCTCTATCATCCTCGACATGGGTGCTGTCAGATTCACTGCATGGCGAATCGCATTTTTCATTCCTTCTTTAATGCAGACCACCTCGGCTTTTTCCATTTTCTTTTTAGCCCAGGACTTGCCAGACGGGAATTTCACCGACCTCAAAAAATCCGGTGAAAAACACAGAGATGAGATTTCCCGGGTTTTCCGCAACGCTGTCGCGAATTACAGAGTGTGGACCCTGGCTCTCACTTACGGGTATTGTTTCGGAGTAGAATTGACTGTCGACAACATTATCGCGCAGTACTTTTACGACAGGTTCAATGTCAATCTTCACACTGCAGGGATCATTGCGGCCAGTTTTGGATTGGCTAATATATTTTCGAGGCCAACTGGGGGGATTATATCGGATGCTATGGCCAAGAGGTTCGGGATGAGAGGGAGGCTGTGGGCGTTGTGGACAGTGCAGAGTTTGGGAGGGTTGTTGTGCATTGTTCTGGGAAGAGTTGGGTCTTTGGGTGCTTCCATTGCTGTGTTGGTTGCCTTCTCTTTGTGTGTTCAAGCTTCTTGTGGGCTTACGTTTGGGATTGTTCCCTTTATCTCCCGAAGGTAAGTTTTCATGCAATCTTCATCAGCTTAAAGTTAAGTAGAACCTAAAAATTTGATTGGTTTTTTAAATTTAATCGCATGATAATCTATTAAATTTTCTTAAAAAACAATAGACTTAAATATTGTGGATCCAATTTTTTTGGAGAAAATATTTCTTATAGCAGATATACCACATTATTTAGGGTGTACACACATATAAATCATCACATTAAGTTTTAAAGGTTGACCAAATATTGTAATAATTTATCTATTCCTCTCTTGATAATATTAAAGATTTAAAAATTTTTATCAAATATTTTACATGAGTGTGAAACTCACGCGAAACTCATATGATATAAATCTTCACATTCATATGAGACATTTAATAAAAATTTTAATAAAACTTTTAAAATTTCTGACATTTTTCTTTCTCTTATCTCTCTCCTCTCTCCACCCGAAACACTTTAATCAAGACCCACTACACATCATCACCCATTTAAATGAAAAATATTTATCAATTTTTTTTCACTCAGCCTCTCAATATAAATGCAGGGCCGGCCCTGGGCTAAGGCGAGTAAGGCATGTGCCTAGGACCCCCAAAATTTGGTCCAAAATAGGGCCCCAAATTTTGAAGACCCATTATACTATCAAGTTTTAAATAAAGTCTAATTATTGTTAGAAGCCCTCAAAAACAAAACAACTTACTAAAATAGAAGACCTCCAAAATAAAACAGCCCACTATAAAAGGCCCAAATAAAAACATGTTGCAGGCCTATATTAAAAACAAATAAAAAAATTAGTCCAATCGAAAAAACAAACAAAGGGCCCAAATTTACTCAAGCAAATTTGAGTGGCCACTAACAAATATATATTTTTTTTTGGACGTATGTACAAGGGGCCCAAATTTATAAACTCGCCTAGGGCCCTTGAATTTTCAGGGCCGGCCTGTATAAATGCAAACAATAACATAGGTTGTGGCTAATTTTTTTTTTTCTTTCCCTTTCTCCGACACCACCATAAATTTTAGGGTAAGAGAGAAGAATTTAATATCTTTTTGTCACATTTTTAATGAAATTTTCCTCCGAGAAAATCTGAGAGGTTGGTGAGAGGATGGAAAAGGATTTATGGTGATGTAAGAGGGAAGAATTTAATGATTTAGGTCTTATTTGGGAACATATTTTTTTAATAATTTTTTAATTTTTTAGTTAAAATATAATGTAAAAAAAATTAGTATGTTTAGAATGACTTTTTGATTTTTTTATGAAAAAATGTGTAAAAAGTAGAGAGAAAATGAAATCTTGGACTTTTTGGTATAAGTTGTTGACTTTTTTGATTTTTTTAATAACTTTTTGACAAAAACGGTCATTTGCCAAATGAGGACTTAGTATATTTGCCACATTTTTAGGGTCCGTTTGGCAAGTTAGTTTCGGACTATTTTAGCCACAAAAAACAAAATAGGTTATTTTAGCCATAACAAACAAAACGTCACATCCAACGCATAATTATTACACTATTCTCTCACAAAAAAAGTCAAAAAAGTTAAAAAGTCAAAAAGTCTTTTCCAAACCAAACTTTTTAGTCCAGACTAAAATAACAAAAAAAGTCAAAAAACTAAAAATACAACCCACTTCTCAAAGGGAGGCTTAATAAAATTTTCTCCAAGTTGTTAAGCTGAGGTAGTGTACCTATTACACCAAATACCTTTTTTAAGATAACACTCTCTGTATATCATTTTACACATCATTATATTTATAAAGTGAATTTATATATTATTAATTGGCTTATTGTGATCATTTCTTTATTTTTATTTTTTTCGCTTATTTTTAATAAAAAAACAAAAAGTTAAAAAATAAGTTATATCCAAACCTTAATGTCTAGAGAACCCCCAAAAAATAGGGGAAATCATTATATTTATAAAGTGAATTTAGATATTATTAATTGGCATATTGTGATCACTTCTTTATTTATTTTTTTTGCTTATTTTTAATAAAAAAACAAAAATTTAAAAAATAAGTTATACCCAAACCTTAATGTCTACAGAACCCCCAAAAAATAGGGGAAATAACCAACAAGTGGAAAGTTCAAAAATCAATGTCATGAAAATTTTTATGAAAATTTTATGAGTTTGACTTCTATTATATCAAATTTTTCTTTAATTTGTAAATATTTTTTTCTACCATCCACTTAAATGATATTTTCCCAAAAACATATCAATTTAAATTCACACCATTAATAAAAAATTCAGTTTTTCTTTTCTTTTCTTTTTTTTCCCCCTAGTCTCCAAGACTTTTCCTATACGCAAACCCCGCCCTGGGCAGAAGCAAGAGAGGCTTGCTTAGGCCACCAAAATTTGGATCAAAATAAGGATTTCTAAATTATTTTTAGTTCATTATAGTATTAGATATTAAAATAAAGCCCAATTAAAAGGCCTAAAAAAAATCCTTGTTGGTTCAATTTTTATTTGGTAAAACTTTACAATTGTTTTTTTTCTTAAACTCTGTTTATTTTGATTTAAAATATTTTACGGACAAATATATATCTTTTCTTTAATTTTTATGTGTTTGGCAAACAAAATTTATTTTACAAGAAAAAATTTAATAATTAACTAATTATAGATAAAACTTATATATATATATATAAAACAAGGCAATGATTGAAATTGATGAATCATGTCGAGATAAGAGTAAAAAAAAAAAAAATTATAGACTTTTGAAACATATTTTTTTCTTATGAAAATATTTTTCTAAAACAAACAGTCCGTATAGTAATTAGATTTTGTTAAACTATAAATCAACATAACCAAAGTTTTTATCATTTTAAATTCTTATAATGATTTCTTCCTATCTTAATCTATATCTAAGTAAATTGTGTGTAGATACTAGCAATTTTAAAATAGATATAATTTTGCTCTATATTTAATTTTTTATCCCTTTTTTTTGGGTAAATACGTAGAAGTGTCCCCCTCCCAAAAGTTCGCTGAGGGCCCTGTAAAACTCAGGATCAACCCTGCCTATATGATTGTAGACTACTTAGAAGGAACTCAAGTTGTCTTCCATCTAATTAGACAATTTAGTTATGGATTACTTGACTCGTTACAAGTCTTGTTTCAATAATATTTATACAACTATAAATGTTAGTATATATAAAAGAATTGACATAACTATTTATACGTTGTCATTTTATATCCATCATATGTCTCATTCTTCAGATCTTTGGGCATAGCTTCCGGGATGACAGGAGGCGGGGGAAATTTTGGTGCACTTTTGACACAATTGATATTTTTTAGAGGATCTAAATACAAAACAGAGACAGGTATAACTCTGATGGGTGTCATGATGATATGTTGCACACTTCCAGTAGTTTTGTTATACTTTCCACAATGGGGTGGCATGTTTTGTGGTCCATCATCTAAAGAAGGAAGTGAAAGTACAGAAGAAGAGTACTACATGAATGAATGGAGTTCAACAGAGAAAGATAAAGGTTTTCACAAAGGAAGTTTGAAATTTGCTAATAATAGCAGAAGTGAAAGGGGTAAAAGGGTAGGGTCTGCTCCCACACCGTCCCCTTAGACAACACCCACATATCCCTGAAGAATTATGATCCTCTCTATTTCACTCCGTAATGTTGTAACATATCGTCGAAATTGTGAATAGTTTTTAATTACCACGTCATTTTAAATTTGAAAATTTTATGTTTTTTTTTTAAATTTAAATAAAAATTTGTTGATATAAACTATTTTGAGTCATTGATTATAGAATGGAAATCTCCATCCCAGAGAATCTCAATCCATATTTAACTACAACCAATAGCATTTAAAAATAGATAAATAAATAAATAAAAACTAATGGAGTGAAATTTTGATACAAAATATATTATAAGACCAATTTATATTGTCATGAGAGATATCACTAAAAAGCCGCTCCAAAAAATTAAAAAAGAACGTTTAATGACAAAAAAATTGTAAATCTTTTAACAAACATCCTTTTAGAGATAAAATGATTTTGTGCTCCATAGTTCTATAGTCCAGATGAAATTAGACAAGGAGCACAAAAAATTGGTGATTGGTGATTGATTTGTGTTTTTTTTTTTTTTGCGGGCAGTACCATAAAGAGGACTTAGGCCTCGTTTGGGAATCCTCATTTTTAGTCAAAAAGTCAAAAAGTTACTAAATTAGTCAAAAAGCCAACAACTCATACAAAAAGGTCAAAGATTCTCTTTTCTCTCTACTTTTTGTACATTTTTTCGTAAAAAACCAAAAAGTCATCCCAAATATACTAATTTTTTTAGCTCATATTTTAGCCAAATAGCCAAAAAGTTACTAAATTAGCCTGCTTCCAAACGAGGCCTTAGTGTTGGAAAATTGGTTTTATATATGTTTACTTTGGGCTAATTTTAAGTCCAAAATTGAGTGGACCCTAAACTTTTTTTGGGTGGGTCCGAAGAGGTGACGTGTTTCTCGTTGCGTAGCAAGTCACACGGTGAAGACAGTTCGTCAAAATCATTTATGAGTGAATGAAAACTTCACGTCGTTTTCGGGTTCATGGAATGGACATTTAAAGAATTAAATGTGGGTTTCCTTAAAATGGGTTGTCCCACATTAAAACTTTAAGAGAGCTTTGTTGCGTATATAAGCTCTAGAATGCAACACTTGGATTGGGCTCTAGGGGGCACCCTAAGTTTGTAGAAGGGAGGAGTTATGGACAAATGGTACTTTGGCCCAAACCATCACACATGCGCGCCTGCCGCCGCCATCCGACTGGGCCGAGCCGTGCTTGGCGCGGGTGTGGGTTGTTGGTCGGGTCGGTTATAATATTAATTTTTTAGACAAAATTTCTTGTGGGAAAAATTAATTTAAATTTTGTAATTTGAATTCAAATTCATGTCCAAAATTTGTACCTTCTTCTGTCTGAATTCCCTACAGAAATTGTCGAACAGATTTAAATAGTTTTCAAATTTGTTAATTGTCCAGACATATTCAAAATCTGATAGTTTTTTAACTGTAGCAGTTGCAGATCTGTTTGAATAGTAACAACACCTGTTCATTCAAAAATTCAGATCGTTGGAGTTTAAATTCACACCTTTTCGGTCTTATATATACCTAGACCATTCTAACAAATTTCTAATCCAAAATTCTGCATTTTCCTTCTACCTTTGCTCTCTTGCATGAGATAATCTTCTTATTAATTTTAGAAAAAATTCAGAGAGTAAGAACACATTTTTGTTTGCCGAACAAATTGTTTGGAGTGCTACTACAATTTGTGAAGATCATTATATCCTGGGAGATAAACGCCACTTAACCGTAAGTACCGTAGCGGGGCAAGTCTATCTTAAGAATAGAGTGTCACACACTCGACTTGATTTTTTTGTTTTTTCATTCGCTTCGATAAAATAAATTATGTAAGTTATTTATTTTATTTATTTGATTTTGTTTCAATTTATTTATTGTACACAGAGGATTGTTCCAACATTCTTAAAACATATTCGAATTATTCTATTTACAGAATTTTTCGTTTATTTCTTTTCTTCTTTCTTCTGCTTACATAAACTATTTTCTGTGATTTTACAAAATAATATTATGATTGGAAAACAAATAGTAATAATATATTATTTGACAGATAGTAGTAATATACTGTCTATTTTTTGACAACTAGTAGTAATATATTGGTGTCATTAACAATTCAGAATATTTATTTGTGAAGTTTGTCAGAAATTAATTTTGGTTTTCTTAAATAATTTATGAGTGTTCATTAATTAAAAATAAATTCGGTTTTTTATTTTTTTAAATTATTGAAGTGTTACAAAAATTTAATTTTCTGTGTTGAATTAATTTGGTTAAATAAAATTTTATTTTATTTCCAAATTAATTGAAAAATAAAAGTTACATTCTTATTTTTTTTATTTTTACATAATTTAATTCTGTGAATTTGGATTAATTTTCTGTGTAGTATAAATTCTAATTCTAATTTTGTTTTATAATTTAGAATTCATGGCTACTAAAACAAATGCTCAAATGACTACTGGAATGGTGGCTGCAATTGTGCCAATCCCCTCTCTTATTGTGACGGTACTGGTAAATCACAGTGAGAAGCTAGAGAAGTTCTCAGTAACTGATTTTAAAAGATGGCAACAAAAAATGTTATTCCATCTTACAACTCTAAACCTGGCTCGTTTTCTTCGTGAGAATGCTCCTACTCTGAACGAGGATAAAACTGACCAGCAAGTGGTTGCTGCGGTTGATGCCTGGAAACATGCTAATTTCCTTTGCCGGAACTACACCTTGAACGGACTTGACAACACATTATACAACGTCTACAGTCCTATCAAGACAACAAAGGAACTTTGGGAGTCTTTGGAGAAAAAGTACAAAACGGAAGATGCCAGCTCAAAGAAATTTGTGATTGGCAAATTCCTGGACTCTTGATGGGTTATTGTAAGACTATGATCAGCCAAGTTCAGGATCTCTAACTCATTCTGCATGACATTTACGCAGAAGGTATGTCACTCAGTGAATCCTTCCAAGTTACAGCCTTAATTGAGAAATTACCACAAGGCTGGAAATAATTCAAGAACTACCTCAAACACAAGCGCAAATAAATGTTTTTAGAAGAATTAATTGTGCGTTTGAGGATTGAGGAGGACAATCACAATTCTGAAAAGCGGGCTAGTAAACATCCTATGGAGTCTAAGGCAAATGTGGTGGAACATGCTCCAAAAGCAAAGGAACGGAAGTTTTTTGGAGAAAGTTCATCACAAGGCACTAAAGGAGGGGAAATTAAAAAGTACAAGTTTAATGGCAAGTGTTACATCTATGACAAAGAGGGACATCGGGCCAAAGATTGCCGTAGCAAAGGCAAAAGCAAAAGAAGAACAAGCAAGCCCATATGACCGAAGTGGATAATATTTCCAATGGTGTAGATGACATCAATCTTTCTGCAGTTGTTTCTGAGGCAAATCTTGTCAGAAATCCTAAAGAATGGTTGGTGGACACTGGTGCTACTCGCCACATTTGTGCCGACAAAAAGATAATTCACATCTTATTCTACAGTGGACAACGATGAAATTTTTTTTATGGGCAACTCCTCAACTTCCAAAGTTGAAGGACAAAGGAAGATTGTTCTAAAAATGATATCTAGAAAGGAACTCACTCTCAACAATGTGCTGCATGTACCGGACATTCGCAAGAATCTTGTTCCGGATCTTTGTTGAGTAAGAATGGGTTTAGGCTAGTGTTTGAGAGTGATAAATTTTTACTTACTAAGAATGGGATGTATGTAGAAAAAAGTTACATGTCTGATGGCCTTGTCAAGATGAATGTAATGATCGTTGTACCTTCAGTTATTAATAAAAATACATCTTCTTCTTATTTGCTTGAGTCATCAAATTTATGGCATGGTAGACTTGGACATGTTAATTATGGATCTTCGCGTAGATTATTTAATATGAAATGTTTACCTAAATTTGATATTGATTCAAATCATAAATGTGAAATTTGTATTAAGGCAAAATTATACAAAACTCCTTTTCATTCAATTGAAAGAAGTACGGAACCACTTGAACTAATTCATAGTGACATTTGTCATTTTAAATCAATTCAAACTAGAGGTAGGAAATAATATTTTATCACTTTTATAGATTACTATACTAAATATAGTTATGTTTATTTAATTCGAACCAAGGATGAAACTTTAGAAACTTTCATTCAATATAAGAATGAAGTTGAAAATCAACTTGGTAAGAAAATCAAAAAACTAAGAAGTGATAGAGGTGGTGAATATGAATCACCTTTTAGTGAGTTTTGTAAAGAATATGGAATAATTCATCAAACCACCGCTCCTTACTCACCTTAACAAAATGGAATTGTTAAAAGGAAAAATAGGACTTTAAAAGAAATGATGAATGTCATGTTAATAAGTTCTAGATTACCTCAGAACTTGTGAGGGGAAACAATAATTTCTGGTAATTATATTTTAAATAAAGTATCTCAAAAGAAAATGAATCAAACACCTTATGAATTGTAGTATGGAAGAATGTCATCCTACAAATACTTAAAAGTGTGGAGGTGTTTGGCTAAATTGGCTATTCCTAGTCTTAAAAAGACTAAGATAGGTCCTAAAACTATTAATTGCATTTTTATTGGTTATGCCAAGAATAGTAGTGCATATCGGTTTTTGATTTATAAATCAGAACATTCCGAAATGCATATAAATACTATTATTGAACCTCAGAATGCATCTTTTTTTGAACATGTATTTCCAAATAAGACTGGCAAGAAACTAGTAACAATAGAAGATCTCATGATGCTATTACTAGTCAGGATAAAAAACATGATTAAGAACAAGAGCAAAAGTTAGATCAAAATGAGGAAGAGGAACCTAGGCATAGTAAACGTGCTAGAACCTCAAAATTTTTTGGTCAAGATTTTCGAACATTTTTGTTAGAAAATGAGCCTTTAACTTTTAAAGAAGCTATGTTCAGTCATGGGGCTCCTTTATGGAAAGAAGCTGTCAATAGTGAAGTTGAATCCATCTTGCAAAATCACACTTAAGCATTGGTGGATTTGCCACCAGGTTGTAAACCTCTTGGGTACAAGTGGATTTTCAAAAGAAAAATGAAAGCGGAGGGATCAATTGACAAATACAAGGCAAGACTTGTGGTCAAAGGTTTAGACAAAAAGAATGTCTTGATTACTTTGACACTGCAGACACCCCATTTTTTACCGCCCTTAAGACTTGGGCACCACTGATGGTTTACTTGGTAGAGAAA